GTGTGTGTGTGTGTGTGTGTGTGCGTGTGTGTGCGTGTACCCTGTGACGGGCTGACATGCCTTATGCACTGTGGTTTCCAGAATCATCTCACTGCAACGTGACGCTGGTGATGTGGGTTTAGACATTTTTTCCTGGTAATTGAAACCGCAAACTGTAATGAAAGCTCCCTCCCCAGAGGTTGCGTGGGTCTCTGCTGATGCCCCAGGTTCCCTGGCATTTTTCAAAGAGCTGATTTGCTGGTGGGTTGGCAGCTCTACCCGGCGTGTTTGTGTTCGCACACTGCTATGGCATGACAAACACAGCGTGGGCTGCACAACACTGACTCCGGTGCGGCAGCGGTCCCACCGGATCAACAAGAGTTGCATGGAAACATGGAACTCAGCTAAGGCGGGGTGGCTCAGTGGGTTAGGCTGCTGTGCCGGAAGTCAGAAGGTCAGCGGTTCAAATCCCCAAGCTAGCAGACTGATTTCACCATTACTTGACAACCGCCAATTGCTCTAATTTGCTCCAGGGACTGTCTGAGTCTGCCTTCTTAAAAATAAGGCAAACTATGTCGTATGACTTTACAAGCAAAATGTGCAAGATCTCATCAGACCCACCATCATTTGTAAAGATATTTGGCAATTCCAAATATTTCATTAATTAACATTTAAGTAAAATAGCTATCTCCTTTGAAAATGCTGCATTTAATGAAGGCCTCTCCTTTACTGTGACATTAACAAAGAGCCGCTAACCTTCGTAAAGGTGAGGGCTCCAGCGACACGTCGCGGCTTCCAAGAAGGCCTGGCGTCTTTAATTAGGAAACGCTGGGGGTAGATCAGCGATTCGCAGGTGTTAGGCTAATGAATATGTAAATCAGAGTGATGGCAGCAGCACCTTCAGGTCCTGACTGTAAGCTACACGGAAGCCCATCTACGCAGAGAACATGATTGGCCGGGAGCAGAGATCACGTTAACGTCAGTGAATTATCCTCAGTTCTATAGCGCGAGATGACAGACGTGGCATTAAGACAACAGCACGCGCATTAACATGCTGGCCCTCGTTAATTACAGACACGCTCTTGGTAAACATGCCCCTTTGTTCCTCTGTCATTCCATTGTCCAGAGCCACCAATAAAAAAATACAGGGTCTAGGTCATCCGGAACGCAGAACAGGAAGCAGAGGGCTCGTGGTGGGAATCACCCCAGACAGGATGCCAGAACTGAGTTTTAATGTTTTAACCTCATTTAATGTTGTACACGAAGTTCATACTCATAGAATCGTGTGCACTACAATATTCACATAACCGTCTCTAACATTCCGACGGGACAGCAAACAGAATCACATGACATGGGGGGAGGAAGGAACGGGAGATTTTATTCGAACATGGGAGCAAAGAGATGGGCTCTAAAGCAATAGGTGGCATCAGTACATGGGGGAACAGACAGGAAAGCAAAACAGGTATCAGGTCTCTGGAAAGCCTACAACTGGGTGCAGGAACAGGCATTAGCCAGTGGGACTGCTCCCAGAACCGATCGAGAAAACAAAACCCCGCTGTATGTGATCAGTAAGTAATAAACCGGCGGTGTCTCCGGCCCAGTCACCCGAAAGCTGGCAGCGAGAGTCTCAGGAGACGCGTCGGCCATGGGGTCACTGAGGGAACTGCTCTACTAAACCTCCAAGCGTACACGCTCAAATCACTGCAGGTGACATGGAGGGAACCAGTGACTTACGTCAAAACAAAACGTAAGACAGGCCTCAGAATCCAGTTTACATTAAACCACAGAGAATCGATAAGCTTCAATCGCAGAAACTGCACACTGCAGATGAACGTGAGAGGTGGGAGAGAGGATAGAAAGGGTAAGAACATTTCCATCAAATTGGGGGGGGGGGGGTTTTGGGTATCATAAGATGCTGGCAAACAGTTAAATTTACCACATTAAAAAATGTTTCATTTCATATGTGATGGATGGATGAGACTCTAAACACACCACACTCACAGTGCACACACACACAGTGCACACAAAGACAGTGCGCACACACAGCACTCACACAGTGCGCACATACACAGTGCACACACACACAGTGCACACAAAGACAGTGCGCACACACAGCACTCACACAGTGCGCACATACACAGTGCACACACACACAGTGCACACAAAGACAGTGCGCACACACAACACACACACAGTGCGCACATACACAGTGCACACACACACAGTGCACACAAAGACAGTGC